TATGGTTTGAGAGAACATAGAAAAGCTGAAAACCTTAAGCTGGGGGTGATCTGAAGTGGTTTATTCTTGTTCAGCTCCACGTGGAGTGAAACCAGAGCTGCTGGAGCTCTCAAGTGTGATTATGTTAATAATGTGCCTTTCCCTAACATTTTTTTTTTGCCCTAGATCAGACAGAAAGCATGAACATAAAGATCATATTTTAGAGAGTACTCTCAAGCCTACTAAAAAGCATTTAAAGGTTTTCTCTTGTTACAGCCTCCTTACTCTCCTACACACATTTTCCACTAGGTCATTAGATTAAGACAGTCTTTGAATTTTATATCTGTTAGAGAAAGCTTTTATGGGAACACTAACTTCTTTAGATGCAAAGACCTTTAGGAGCCAAATTTTTACACTCTTGTTTTTGAGTTCCTTTTTTCTACGGCTTTTAGTTCTCGACACCTACTTCAAATGTTCAATCTTAATTTCTTAACCTGGAAGGAGGAGAGGATGAAAAATTAGGAAATCTTGGGAAAATCTGAACAAGCATCTGAGAAGATGTGCAGTATCCACCAAATGGGAAAAACACCACATCTGGAGCCTATGACTGGGTTGACCATTTGTGAACCACACTGCACATTCCTGAAATCAGCTGTCAGAGGTAACAGCACTGGGACCTTATGCCAGCAGCAGAAACCTCATACGTACACTTGGACTTTCTTCTGCAGGACAGACCTTGTCCAAGATTCTACACTATTAGCACAGCTGAAGAGGGGGAAAGGTAGGGCTTCTAACCTACAGATGAACTAAGAAGTCATTTAAGAGCAGTTCTGAAAGGTTGTCAGCAAATTCTGCGGAAAAATATTGAAGGAGCCGTGAACAAGCAGCTCCCTGTTTTTATTATGGCTTCACTAATTGTGAAATGTCATCAGCTTAAAGAACAGCAGTTGCATAGGGGAAGGAAGAATGCTTTTGAGTACCCCATACATACAGTATTCATTTCTTGAGTAAAATGAGATAACCCTCAGGTAAATGAAGTGTGCTCTATCAAAAGTGAATAAAGGTGACCCTATGCATTTCCAAGCATCTTGCCCTCACCTGCAGAGCAGTACAGGCCACCATCTCCTTTTTGAAGTGCTCAACTATTCTCCAAAAACCATTCAACAGCATTCCTTTCTTAAAAAAAGAACTATGTTCCTGCAGACCCCATTGGCCACAGCAGGCACCTCTGAGTGCTAAGAGGAGCAGGTTTTTACTTGCTAGCTTATCGGCTCGCTATTCCCATAAAGGTTTCATGGATGATCAGAGGAGAAGAGGATTCAGCCACAGATTTGTAGCAGCTCAGAAGAAGGATGAGACAAGGCTTATACTTTGCTCTGACCTTCCTGTTATTTTTCTGTTTAGCTTTGAATTCTTGGTTAGCACTGCGAGGAACACAGAATACTTCTGCATGGGGGTCTGCCAAGCCCAAGGTCACCCAGCTCTGCTCTCCATACCCTGCCCTCAGCAGCTTTGGCCTGGTCTCTTGGGTCCCCCAGCTAAGCAGACAAAAAGTCATTCACACCCCCAAACTGGAGCTGTTGGGAATAGGCAGACTGCTGGCCTCATGTTTGCAGTCAGTCCCTCGGCTCCCTCATGTAAGCATCAAAACATCCTTGGTGTCTTTAGGCAAGGCAGGCATTCGGCCTTTCTTTGCTTTTATTTCTGTCTGGTTGATCTCCCCTAGGATTTTAATTAAGGTGTCCTTGGGATGAAATGTGTCCAGATCATATTCCCTTTAAAGAAGTTGACATAATCTCACATTTTAAGTTCTTTTAATATATATTCTCCTCATGTTTTGTCTTTGTTTTTACAAGATTTAACATTTCTTTCTAGTCTTGCTTCATATTCTTCAAGTGCATTTATTTCAAATCCCATGTCTCTCCAATCACAAGAAAAAATGGAATCAAAGATCCTCTCATCATGTGCGTGCACAATCCTTGCCACATTTTTTCTTTACACTTGAAAAAAATCCTTTCCACAGATATTATTTCTACTGAAGTTATAATTCCCTGCTCTTCTTCTTTCTAGACTGTAAGTCCTTTAAATGAAAGTACTGATCTTTCTTGGTGACAAAGAGATGGATGGTAGCAATGTCAACATTGTTTGAGACTGCTTAAGACTGGGGTTTTTGTCTGTATAAATAATTCTCTGTCACTTTTTTTTTCTTAATGTTACTGGTACTGCACTATAGCTGTTCTATTCTGACTAATTTGCTCTTTCTGAATTTCTTTGGATCTGATTTTACAATGTCCCAATCATCTTTTATTTCCCAAAGGCACCAGCCTTGTCTTGTTAAAGTGCCTTTATTATATGAATAGGACAATTAAATGAAAGAACAAAGAATGCCTGAGGGACAACGGTAGAATATTTTCCTATTATTCACTGAGAAATAATGGATAGTTTCATTTAGAAGAAGCTTTCTCATTTCCAAAGATTGGATAAAAGACCTAGCCATTTCTAACACTAAATATGATGTAATGTTTTAGAGTAACACTGCATGGACATATTCATAAATTCATTCACACTTATATACATTTTACAGACAAAATGTCTGCTTCCTATTGTGGGAAGAAAGACTCATTCTTTTATTTCTTTTTATTTTAATTTATTTTAATAAACTCGGGACTGAACCCCTTTACACTGCAGTGTAATTAGACCTGAGCAATAATGGGAACTTCTCTCAATTTATCCTCCATCTTACGACCAATAGGATAAAAACATTTTGCATTTACAACCAATACTTGTAATTTAAGACTCTGACATTTCCACACAACCTCAGAATAATCCAGAGATTATTTTATATTCCCTGCCCAAGTTGAATCTTACTTCTGTTTAAGCATTTTTCCCTTACTGTATATGGCAGCTGTTGAGACAAGACTCACATCTTTGCTACCTCATTCCAGCATCAGTTCCATTCCATTCTTTCTATCCTGGATGCAACAAACTCAGTTCTGCAACCTGTCATACCAGCATCCCTTTATCCTTGCAGTGAAGATCTGAGATGTTCCCATATGTGGTCATAGCTCAGAAATTAATTATGCAAAAAAACCCCAAAAACACCAAATAGGTATAGAAACCAAATAGAAAAGAAGCCTCTTAATACTTTAATGTAACAAACAATCATTTTCTCCAGGAAGTTAGTTTAGAAAGGAGAAAGGCAGAATTACACTTGATGTGTTCTCACACTGCAGTTTCATTTATTTTGGGTTGTCTTGAATTACAATTCTTGACATTCTTGCCTGTCAAGTACACATATGGTTTATGCTACTAACCACAACACAGCAATTCTAAATGTACATTTACAAAAGCTTTTCAAACTTTCACTCAGTGCTTCTAATGCCACGTTAACATAGGTGAGCAGAGTGTCCTTGCCACAAAGAATACTAATGATTTCCTGGGATGCATTAAGAGTAGTATTGCCAGCAGGCCAAAGGAATGCCATCATCTCTGCTCAGCACTGGTGAGGCTACACCTGGAGAACTGTATCCAGTTTTGGGCTCCCCAGTACAGGAGAGACCTGGACATACTTGGGACAGTCCAGCAAAGGACCATTAAGGTGACAAAAGGACTGGAGCAACTCCTGTGAGGAAAAACTGAGGGATCTGGGGCTGCTCAGCCTGGAGAAAAGGAGGCTCAGGGGGATCTCATCAATATCCATGAAGATCTGAAGGGAGGGTGCGAAGGGGACAGAGCCTGTTCAATGATGTCCTGTGCCAGGACAAGAGGTAATAGGCATAAATTGAAACAGCTGTTGTTCTCTCTGAACATTAGGAATCACTTATTTATTGGCACAGTTTTCCCAGACAGGTTGTGGAGTCTCCTTCTTGGAGTAATTCACATGCAGTTTAGATACAGTCCTGGTTAGTTGGCTGTAGATGGCCCTTCTTGAGCACGTGATTTGGGACGGATGAACACACATGCTAATCCAGACAATAATGTCACTAGAAGAAGAGATGTCAGTGACAGATTTTTTGTTGACACATCTGGAGGTATAAAGTGTTTGGTGTGCTTCACATGGCACGGAAGAAGCCATTGCCCTTCTTGACAGCAGAAAAAAATCTCATGACATTAGGAGACATTTGAATGCAAGACCTTTAATGACTGCAGTAGCTTAAATATGAGTATGAAATCTAACTATGCAGGTGCAGAGAAGCAAGAAGGGAATAGTGTATTTCCTCTTTCTAAGCCAATTAGACTGCTTACATCTCACCAAGTGACTTTGTACTAAGCATAAGCCCTTTAGAGCTGAGCTCCACTGATGCACCGCTATTCTGAACTTGCCCTTAGTTGTAGAAGAAGGGAGACAGTGAAGCTTGACTGCTCCTTTTCTATGTGGTGCTTTCTGGGCTATACACAGGGAAAAACCAACAGTTTGGACTCATTGCTCTGATTCAGTGGCAGAAATAATTCCATTATGTTTGCAAAGAACACAACACACAAATCCTTTCCTGGACATGACAACAAAGCAACAAAAAAATGTGTAAGCAGATCCTTGGCAAATCTTCCCTCACATTAACGTGGTTTTGATTTACCTGTCATAGAAATGACAACAGTAGTAACGGTGGCAGCAGCAAATGGTGCTGGGAGGACAGTCAGAGCTGAATTTCAGAGGGATAAAGTGGCTGGTGGCTACATATGGCTCAGATCTCACCACAGTCCCCGGACTGCTCCATGTTTCCAGCAATGGCCTCACATCCCCAGCCCCATGTGTGCTTTACTGTTCTGATCTACCAGTGGAGGAAGCTGAGGCAGGCGTCACCCGGAGCCTTGGTACAGATACGGCTGCCTTGGACAAGGTGCACATTGTCTTGCCCTGGCACTGCTGCTCCCATTGGCCCATTCTGACCATTACAGGGACTGGGCATCTTTAAAAGGAGGCAAAAGAGATCTGAGTCAGGCACAAAATTTCCTTGGCTCCCACCAAGAGCATTTGTGACTGCTGCCTCTCTCTAGGACCACTGCCTCACAAAGCCAACACGATGTGTAACCGATTTGTGGGAACCTGGAAACTTGTCTCCAGTGAAAATTTTGATGACTATATGAAAGAACTGGGTGAGAGATGTTGTGTGCTTTTTCTTCTTTTTCTTTCTTTTTTTTTTCAAGTAAGTTTCCTTTGCAAATGCCTCTTCTTCATCTTACGCTTTGCTCATGAATAGTGCTTTCTTCCTGGCCATATAGGCATTGCAGTTATAGTTCTAGCATAACTTATTTCCTTAACACCTAACATGGAAAGAAAATAAAGACTTCTGTTATAAATTTACCTCCGTCTAAGTGAACTAACCTGATCTAACCTGTTTGTAATGAGAAGGATCTAAGGAGATGCAGAATTGTTTTATGTTTCTCTTCATTGCACTGTTAAACTCGTGACTTGTGATAATTTACAATATATAATGGAGCTGATGTCTCATGACACTTTGGTTTCGGAGTTCTAAATCCTATGAATGAATATATCTGTTTCCGAGAAATGCCAGGAATGTAATCAATTGGGCATTGTTTTTAATTCTAATGCTGGCTTCATTCCTAGATAGCAAGTGCACACAGTCAGTTACAGCATTTCTTTTGCTATATAAATGATTCACTGAGACACTAATTCCCCTTATTTGAAATGTTAAACTGAGTAACAAAAGAACTTCAGTAAATTAATTAACCAGAGTAAATGTGGGATGCAAGTCCAGCTACAGACATTCTTCTGAAGATTGGAACAGAAATGTTTCAGTACTGAATAATTACTGCAAATAGTATTATACTTTACAGATAACAACATATATCCTTTTGTATGTATCTTCTCATGTGAGCACTTCATAGCATTAATGCAGCAACTCTAGCTATCCCCTTTCTGTTTTTATAAAACAGTGACATATCATTATTTGTACATGAACTTGCCTTTTCCTCTGAAGTTCAAGAGTCATGATCCCTAAGGTATCTTAGTAAAAACCTACGAATTGCCTATTCTCCAGTATATTCTTTGCTTTAATGAATAAGTAACAGCATAATGGCAGTTCAGAATCCAGTTTCTTCCCAGCATCTTGCTAAGAGAAGTTCAGATTCTAAGATTATTCAACGATTTTCATATAAAAAGGATTTAGTTGACCTTTCGTGAGAAATAGTTCTATCTCTACAAAGACACATGCACGCTACTAACCACCAGTATTTCTTCCTAGTTAAATGTACACCAGTACATACTCGAGTGAATCTTTGCTTCTTGCTGGAGGCGCGTGCCATCAACTGGGGCTGCGTGATCATCTGAATACAGTGCTTCCACATATGAAGAATCAGTGTCTCATGTGAAGAAAGCATTATAGTATTCAGGAATAAACTTTTCCTCATTTTTCTACTGAAGTTTTTCAAAATGATACTGAGTTTTTTGCTTCCTAGAATGTAATGACAGTTTTCTTCCTGATTTCTAGGAGTGGGCTTAGCAACCAGGAAACTGGGTGGCCTGTCAAAGCCCAATGTGATCATTAGTATGAAAGGGGACATAGTAACCCTCAGAACGGAAAGCACCTTCAAAAATACAGAGATTTCCTTCAAATTGGGTCAGCAGTTTGATGAAACAACAGCAGATGACCGGAAAGTCAAGGTAAGAGGGCTGGTGTTCTCTGAGTGGTCCTAACATACTAGAAGAGAGACAGGAGGATTTTTTCCTACCCTCTTAGTGTACTATGAAATTCCCAGGTTATTCAAGAAAAGCACTGAAAGAAGAAATAATACGATGCTAGCACCACTGGTAAGAAGTTTATTGTTAGCAGAGAACGCAGATCTGGTTGAATATAAAATGAGTCGCTACTCTAATCTGCAAAGCTTTGATTACAGCTTGAGACTCTTCTCTTGGCCTTTGTAGAGCGTTGTAACCTTGGAGAAAGGGTCATTGGTTCAAGTTCAGAAGTGGAATGGCAAAGAAACCACAATAAAAAGAAGACTGGTTGATGGGAAAATGGTGGTGGTAAGTTCCAGGCTCTTACTTCTATGCTGCTGCATGGCAGGAGGATGCAACATTCAGTTGGCCTCTGTCTAAGCAGAGTGACAGTTTTGGCTTATGAAGAAATAAGGATGGAGAAAATGGGAAACAAGCTTAAGAAACAACCTGGAAGGAAATAAATGTTATTCCATAACAGCAAATTGTCATTAAAGTAATTATACTGGCAGAGATGTCAAGATTTGAGATCATATTTACTGATCTCAAAATTATTCTGCCTAAAAGAAATGTAGTTTTCATAGAGTAGAAATCTGTGAAATGTAAAAAGAAGTTTGCAAGCCAGAAATTTCTGTCCCTGGAATGGCTCTTTTCTTTTTTCCATCTTCAGAATGAATCCTGTCCACCTTAGAAAACTCATTCCATACCTTTTTTTGCACACCTGTTTCTACTTGTGCCGGTCAGTTCATACTGCTGTTTGTTTTTTAGGCATGAGCACTTCTAGCTAAAGGTGCTGGAGGTTTATTGCATGAAAGGCAGTTCTCTGTGCCTAATTCTGCTGGTGATATTGACCTGCAGCAGGGCCATCACGTCCTGATGGCTCCTCTGAAAGGCCCTTGGCTTTGAGAGAAGCCCATCCTTCATGAAGGCTGGGGACTTTCCTCAATCCATCTAACCTACCTACCTTTCTCACAGAAAGGACTGTTAAGCACTGGAACAGGCTCCCTAGGGAGGTGGTTGAGTCACCATCCATAGATCTGTTTAAAAACCATTTGAATGTGGTGCTCAGGGACATGATGGGTTGTTAGAGTTAGGGTAGTATGGTTAGGTTGTGGTTGGACTTGATGATCTTGAAGGTCTTTTCCAACCTGAGCGATTCTGTGATTCTCTACTAGGTACATAAAAACCACAGGGGAGCCAATCCGGTGTCATAATACATTTCAGGGAATTGAGATTTTACTTCCGAATAAAGAGAAGTATCTTAGAATTGAAGAATGACAGAATGTCTTAGGATGAAAGGAACTTCAAGGACCATTGAATTCCAACCCCCTGCCATGAGGAGATCAGGCTGCTCAGAGTCCCATCTAACCTGGCTTTAAAAATTTCCAGGCATGGAGTGCATACAGCTTCTCTGGGCAGCCTGTGCCAGTGTTTTGCTCATTCCATCAGCAGCCTATGTCCTATCCCTGGCCTAGGACAGGACTGCTGAGGAGGACTCATTTCTGCACACTGCTGAGCCCTGCCTCATGTCCTGCCACCTCAGTTGCACTTGCCTGGTGGCTGTGAGTCATTGAGAGCCACTGAGGGCCACCAGGACAAAGGGGTCAGGAGAAACATCTTGTGATTCATGAGTGCAAAGTTTTGTAGGCCAGAATCCTGACCTCTGAGCTGCACAGGCTGCATCTGTTTCCACAAAAACATGTTTGTAAAACCGAAAGCAGTTGTGAGCCACAGTATGATAAACTGGGCCTTGATGATGTTTTTATCAAGCCATAACAACGGGAGTGCTTTTTTTTCCTATAAGCTGAAGCTAATTTTGCATTCTTTTTGTTATTATATGCCATTTAATTAAAAACAAAAACAACCAACCAACCAAACAAAATCACTTATTGCACTATAACTATAGTTTTGCTATCTGCTCTAAAAATTATACAGATTTTCAAAATATGATATCTGGATTTTCAGTGAATTCAGGGGTACTGCAGCAGACATATTTGCTGCCAGTGAGATCCTTATATTAATCTTTTCTTTTGTGCCTTAGGAGTGTGCCATGAAAGGGGTTGTCTGCACCAGAGTCTATGAAAGAGTGTGAAGGAACACCTTCTCTGCACCGGACTGGGACTGGCTCTAAAAACTCACCCTAGCCCAGTGACCAAAGCTTCATGCACTGTGCTTCTTTATTTTATTTCCTTTTATTGGGAAAATGACTCCATTAAGATTTGATATTCCAGAGCCATAGTGTGACTAATCCAGAATATTGTGGTGCCTCAATAAAAGCTTCTCAATAAATGAAATAGAGCGTCTGCCCATCAATTTTTAAAGTTTGCTTTCTCGGATGCTGCCCATCTTTTCTGTTCTTGTCTGTGTAAACGGTCAGACTATTTCTGTGTAAAATGCTAAAATACAATCGATCTGCCTCTGGGAGAGGGCTAACACTGTTTTCTTGGTGTGTGTAAAAGTTCTCATCTCATGGCTGCAATGTAAATGCAGTAAATGATTTTTCAGTAAATTTCAGTAAATGATTTTATTGCTGAATAGTTCCTATAGGGAAAATCATCTTAACCAGAATAATTTTTGACTTGCAGTATGATTTATTTTTTCAGTCTTTTAGTTTTACTGCATCATTTGTTCTCACTGTTCTCATCCTAAAATGCTTATACTTCTCTTCGTACCATTTTCTATAACATGGCATTTGCTTGGAAGAGAGCAGCTTTAGGAGGATAAATTATCGGGATGTATTCCATATTTCTCTGCCCAGCAGCTTTTGAACTTTCAAAAGAAGTGTGAAACAGGTCTCAATGAACTCTGGAAATCTTAGTGCTGGAGAGTTTCATTTTGCAAAGCAATTCCTCTTACTTCTAGCAATTTTTAATCATGGATTTAGAGTTAAGCACACAGAAGAGATTTCAATGGATAGAATTTTCTGCTAAACCCAACAGAGTAACTAAGCTGTTCATTCTTCCTATTGTACTTTGTGCTTTTAACTAAGGAAAAAACAGAAAATCTCCTTAATCCAAAGGCGTTGGAGCAGCTTATTAGTTTTTACCTTCCTTAAGTGGCATTCAGTAATGCCACAGAATTCATGCTCGCAACACGAAGAGGAGTATTTCTTCCCTCTTCATTGCCTCCACGTCATCATGCAGGAATCTCTCTGCCTTCTCTGGGGGGTTAAAACTGCTGTGATTGGCAGATGTGTTTATTTTGGCTTGTTAGGAGCTGTAGTGCTACTGTGAACCTTTGCCTACTGGTTCTGCAGTTGCAGAATTCTCACAGTAAGGGAGATCCGGTATGTCAGTATTGGTGCAACTGAGCAGATAATTAGGAAGTGAATGTCGTTTGTAAATGCAAAACGTAAAGGTCACTTTTCTTCTCTACCTATCGTTGGAGAAGCTTGAGACTAGGTCTGGCTTTGACCACAATCATATCAATGCATACTCACTGGAGGCAGCTGCCTGAAGGTACTAGAGGCATCCTAGAAAATATGAGTTGTGATAGAAAGCTGGAGATTTGCAGATAACTTTATACTGGTCTCTAACCTAAGTGGGGATAAGAAGGGAGCAAATTCTTCCATTTTGCCATTAAGATTCACATTTGTGAGAGTCAGAGTTTCTGTGACTCTAAATCTTCAGTGTCTGTAACAAGGACTGTAAGTAAAGTGCTGCCTCATGTAACATAACATCATTCACAAGCTGTCTGAGCTGTTATCCAGCTCAGAGCTGCAGGCAAAGGAGTGGTGAGTGCTGCAAACACACTCTTTATTTCCTTTGCTTTTCTTTCAGCAACCTGTAAATGCTTCTCTGAGGTTAAATGGAAAATTTTCCTCTCTAACTGAATGTCAGTTTTCAGTTTTTTTACTTCCTCAAGAAAAGGAAATAAACATTCAGTTTGGTACAAGCTGTGTTTTTCCAGGACTGGGGGAAAAAAATAGGACTGTTCACTCAGTCCTCGTTTATTTACTGTCTTCTCCTTTTCTCTCACACAATCCACCTTCCTCCTCTCCTCTGTGTGGATTTTTTAATTGCATTTAATTTTCCAGAGTCTGAGGATTAAAATTCCTAATGAGACGCAGATATGCTATTAGGATCCCAGTATTTGGCATTTTCACTCCATATGAAGGTCACTTCAGAATGTCATGTGAGTTGGGGACTTTCCAAAACAGGAAAAGTGCAACTGGACTGATAGTGTGGAAGGCGAAAACAATGAAGCAGGTGGCACAAATCAGTGCAGAAATGGAGCACTTTGGGATACTGCAGCACATAATGCAGGCCTTGGGGTCTCCAATAGGAATTAAAGTTTATATGAACTGTGTGGTCTGAAGGTTTATTTCGTGCCTAACTACAGATCTGTTTTTCTCCTTTACTAAACATTTTACATGGGCTAGATACTATGGAATGAATGTCCAAACTAAGATATGACACCTATGTCTTGAACACATTGCCAAAAGTGTGAATTTTCCATTTGCCTGCTGCTTAATCTAGGGATGAGAGTATCCTGATGCTGGCATATGAATAGCATTGTTTAAGCGAATCAGCTTGATCTAGTACCCACCTCATCCTCTGCTTGCTACAGAAACCACTGGGACTACTGAAATCAAGCAAAAGCTGCCTCTGGCCTGTGGGTGCTGTGGCTGTTGCCTTGGACTGGACAGAATTTGACTATTTGCAATAGAAAGTGTCTCTGGATGATGCATATATAAACCTGTGATTCTGTGCACAACAATCCACTCACTTCTGTGCAACAAGGAGCAGGGAGGAGAGGCCACAGACCCATGTCTGTCTTTGTCCCATGTTGGTATCTCACGTACCTTTAAACTTTTCTCAGTTGTTCTTGGTGAGCTCACATTTGTGGTATTGCAATTATATTGCAAAGCTTATTTGCACACATCCTAGGGACCAACGCATGGCCTTTGGTGCTGTTGTAGTTATACTACCTTGATGCCTATTGGACCATTTCACCAGGCAGTAACTTTTCTAGGAATGGCAATGATGGGGGAGGCGATTACACAGAGTTATTAAATAAGTTGCACTTCATAACAGATCCTCACTACGTATCTTTTTCATAGAGGAACTCCTTGCCGTGCTTATAAACACTTCACTGTATAGAAATTGCTCAACTTTGCCTTTTAAGATGCTGTTACCTTCCTTAATTTTGATTTTGTATTAAAGATGTTCTGTTGATGTCTGTGTTACAATGGAGTGAAAGGTTAGCAGAGCTGAAGGGGTAATCAGTTAGAAACAAATAGGCTGATGCCATGAAAAATCGCCTTCAGAAATCCTGGAATTGAAATGTAATCAAGGTCTTTGTTAGAGAGGTAATTAAAGCACATCCTTGCCATTTCAGTGGGGAACGTTGTGATTGGCCATTGGCCATTGTACTGCAGATAGGAAACACAATAAAATGATGTTATTTGGACTAAAGGGTACAACAACATTTGGAAAAATGTATTCCCTGAGACACTAAAGAGAAAGAAAGCTGTGTAAAGCAGACACCGTCCAGCAGCGTTTTCAAAGGAGATTGTGTTTTGTTTTTTCACCTATTGGGTAGGAAATCAATATTTAAATATAATTTCCTCAAACGTTATGAACATTTTAAAACTAAAATGTGAGAATTGGCATGATTCAAGGATTAGGAAGGAAGGAATAACTGGGTTACAGTTGGATCTATTTTCAGGTACTCAGTAGAGTGGTAGTTAAGACTAGTTAGATTAAAACATGCATATTGTTTTAATGTGATCACCAATATTGATTATTCTGTGTGAGATGTGTAAGGCAGGGAAAAAGGCTTCTCAATTTACCTCCTCGTGAACGTATCTACTTCCTAGCACATTTCCTTGTGGACACAGCTTCCATATAGGCATCTGTGTGAGCAATAGGGTCAAAAACACTGTGAGAATTGATCCTGTGTTTCAAAGCTTATAAATGCTCTAACAGCTAGGGCTAAAGCTACAGGAGATGTTTGTAGTGGAGCTGCGTGGCAGATCAGCTAAAGCACAGCCCGTATCAAGTCTGACTGAGCTTTAGGCTTCTTTGGGAAATCTATAGACATAATTACTAGAAAGAAAAGATATTTAGTGTATCTAGCTATTGTACAATACTTACATTACTGAACATGCCAGCAATAATCTCATTTATCTCAGCTTTTATGTGTTTTACTTGGAAACTCTGCACATTAGATATGAAAATTGGAGACAGTGAATGTGGAAGATTCAGTTATCTTGTACTCAGAAGCTCTTAGCAGAGAGGCACAGCTTCATATAACTTCGTGCCACCTTCTCATGCTTTGCATCATAGCGTTCAGTTTTTTACCTTAGTGACTCTTATACGTGTGTATAGGTAAAATCATTTAAAGAGAATGTTAACTCTTTCACAAATCCTCCCTCTTTGCTAACAGTGGGATTATGAAGCAATTTGAAATGATAAGACATAACACTGAAGGCCCCTAATTACCTGGTTAACATAAACGTTTTGATTTAAATTAACAAGAGAACAAGCAGTCAGATTATTAAAGGGTGGGTGCATAAAAGTTTCCATTTTCCAGATAGAATCTGAGCCTCTGGCCAGGAGTGCAGGAGACAACACTAAGGCTCTCCCTGGTGCTTCCTCTACCTGAAGTATTTGATGTAATTAAGAAGCATCATCACAGTTTATACTGGTGCTATATCCACTTGGTTAGAGATTGCATTACGAAATAAAAAGGCAGCTATTAGAGTCTACGATAATGACTTTGGAAGACGTATCAAGGAACGGGAATAATTTTAAGATTGTATTCCCTTGCCTTTGCAAATCCTGTGTGTTATGGCTAGCTCACATCTTAGTTTAACTGCATCTGACCTGGAAAAAACAATTAAAAAAAAAAAGCCATTTGCTAACAACAAAGTTCTGAATGAGATGACTGCACAGATATGACTAAAAGCAGAAATACAGCTCCTGTAACTTCTGAGGAAGAGGAAGCAGAGGTCTTCAGTTCTTTACTAGGATAGAAAGAGAGGCCAGAAACTTACAGGGCAAAGAGTAGAGCAAAGCCTCTGTCAGGCAAGCTATTTATGACAAGCTGAAAGAGAGCAATATAATGGAGGTCAATCTGAATAAATCA